CGGAAAAAAAAAAAAAAAAAAAAAAAAAAAAAAAAAAAAAAAGTTCAGAGTCCTAGGGCCGGCCCGTGGCTCACTTGGGAGAATGTGGTGCTAATAACACCAAGGCCACGGGTTCAGATCCCTATATAGGGATGGCTGGGTAGCTCACTTGCGAGAGTGTGGTGCTGACAACACCAAGTCAAGCATTAAGATCCCCTTACCTGTCATATTTAAAAAAAAAAAAAAAAAAGTTCAGAGTCCTATAATACCAGATAATATTCATCATCCTGCAAAAATATACCGGGTGCTTATTATGTGCCTGCCAGCTGCTAGGAATACAAGAATAAATGAGACAGATGTCCTTGCCCTTCAAGGACTTAGTCTAGAAAGGGAAATAGACAGGAAAACAGACAATGAACACACATGTGGTATGCACTTTGGTGAGGTATGTGCAATGGGCTGTAGCAGGTGACACCCGAGCTGGGATCTAACAGATGTGTAAGAAGTGACCAGGCAAAGGAGTAGTGTCTAGATGAGGGGAGCAGCATGGAGAAGGCTTTCGAGAGGCCATTGTCAGCATCCCAGTGCCGTTTCAGCTAGTTTGCCTAATGCTGCGAGTAACTGAAAACCCAACTCAACATGATTTAAACAATAAGGGGTTATTCTCACCATATCAAGAGGCCCCAAGGAAGAGCAGTACCAGGGTTGGTTAATTTAGCATCTCAACAGTGTCATTAAATATGCACGATTTTTCTATTCTGCCGTCCTCACATGCTCATGGGGCGTGTTGCCTCATGTATGCAGAATGGCTGCAGCAGCTCCAAGCAGTATGTCCTCATTCAACAACACATAGAGGCTACACTCTGAAACACTTTCCCAGGGTCACTGACAGGCATCCCTCACATCTCATTGCCACATTTTGGTCATGTATACATGCCTAATTGGCTTAACAAATGAAATTCCCAGGATTGGCTTAGACCCACCCAAATTCATCCAGTATCCTACATGATCAGCGGGAAGGAGGGATGGCTGAGGGTAGGTAACCACTAGTGTCTTTCACAGTGCCCAAGTCCTAACTGCTATTAATCATAATTGTTATTAAATTTGAAAGTTGGAGAAGCTGACAGAGTGTGTGAGCTTGTCCTCCAAGGCGCCCGGGAAGCCTGGGAAGAACCTGGGGCTCCGGATATCAACCCTGCCAGACGGGTTTCCTGGATTACGTGATCCCCTGAAGCACACCACCCTAGCTTTCCTCTTGGAAATGGATCTGGGCCTGTCTGTCTCAGCTTTAGTCCTCACCACCCACCTGGCGCAGCTCTCTCTGCCTACATCCCGGCTGTCTCTGGCCACGTGCTGCCCTCCCCTCTGCCCGCTTGCGGATCAGATGCCCCGGGTGACTTCCGGTGTCACTGGTGGCTGCTCCTACAGGAAGGTGAAATCAGATCGTTGCCTCTGCCCCTCTTGGCAGGAGCCGATGGGCAGAGGTTTAACCCCTCCTGGCCCCACAATGTGGGGACTGCCTAGGGAGCATTTTCGTGGCTGGCTCCAGGCAGAGCCCTTATTTAATCCTCACACCTGGTCAGCAAGATAGGGAGTGTCAGCCTATGTTGTAGAGGACAAGACCAGCTCAGGGAGGGTGGGTGACTCATCTGGGGTCACACAGCTGGTAAGCAACAGGGCCAGGTTTGCACCTGGGTCTGCCCCACTCCCCATTCTCTCCTCTGTTTTCTCTCCTCCCATTTTCCATCAGCATAAAGCCAGGTAGACAGCTGCCTTAGCACAGTACTAGCCCTGGTTAAGGGGTCTTCTCTCTCTCCGTCCTTTGAGGAGACTGGTTATCCAAGCAGACTGTCTGGTCTTTCTGCTGACCTTTCAGTCCTGGCTCTGCTGCGCATTGACTGGGACTTTGGGAAAGGTCTCAAGATCATGAGGTGATAGTACAGATGGGGAGACTGAGGCCCAGAGAGTCAAGCACCAGATTTTGAGCTGGATCTTGGATCTCCTGATGCCGGGACAGGGCTTCCTGCCCACTGCTTCCTGCCCTGTGACCTTGGTTTATCGATCTGTGAAAAGTGAGGTTGTGTTTGTACCGTGCAGGCAGGTGCTGCTCGAGAGGCTGTGCCTGGAGGCCTGGGAGTGTGGGCTGCTCTGATGGGGTCCTGGAGCCTGCACTGAGCCTCCTGCCTCCCACTGGGCCACACGGGTGAGACTGGGGCTGGGTGATCCACGCCTGGCTCCTTTAGCCAGATGTGGGTGCCAGGGGAGGAAGCTGATGCCACGTCTGCTTGTGTTTCCTGGTCTCTAGGGGGTTTCTCTTCGCCTGGATCTTAGTCTCATTTGCCTGTCACCTGGCTGCCACCCAAGGAGCTCCTAAAGGTAATCCTCTCTTCTCTTTGTCCAGGGGAAACAGAGGAGGACAGAAAGGGTGAGAGAACTCAGGAGTAGGAGACGTCTGTGCTTCTAAGTGGAACTCACTGCCTCAGTTTTTCCATCAGTAGAATGGAGCTGGTCATTGGCAAATTCTTTCTGAGCTTGAAAGAATCACATTTGGAGTGTTGTAAGGGGTAGGAAGGACTCAATGCAGTGTGAAAGGGTGATCCTTGCCTTCCTACCTGGCACAGAATTTGAATGAGTCATTTTGGTTCAGTAAACCTCAGTTGTCCCTATTTGTCNCCTGGCACAGAATTTGAATGAGTCATTTTGGTTCAGTAAACCTCAGTTGTCCCTATTTGTCTGATGGACGCTCTAAGGACTGCTGAGAGGAGGCACTAAAAGCCACAAAGGTTGTGTTTGTACCGTGCAGGCAGGTGCTGCTCGAGAGGCTGTGCCTGGAGGCCTGGGAGTGTGGGCTGCTCTGATGGGGTCCTGGAGCCTGCACTGAGCCTCCTGCCTCCCACTGGGCCACACGGGTGAGACTGGGGCTGGGTGATCCACGCCTGGCTCCTTTAGCCAGATGTGGGTGCCAGGGGAGGAAGCTGATGCCACGTCTGCTTGTGTTTCCTGGTCTCTAGGGGGTTTCTCTTCGCCTGGATCTTAGTCTCATTTGCCTGTCACCTGGCTGCCACCCAAGGAGCTCCTAAAGGTAATCCTCTCTTCTCTTTGTCCAGGGGAAACAGAGGAGGACAGAAAGGGTGAGAGAACTCAGGAGTAGGAGACGTCTGTGCTTCTAAGTGGAACTCACTGCCTCAGTTTTTCCATCAGTAGAATGGAGCTGGTCATTGGCAAATTCTTTCTGAGCTTGAAAGAATCACATTTGGAGTGTTGTAAGGGGTAGGAAGGACTCAATGCAGTGTGAAAGGGTGATCCTTGCCTTCCTACCTGGCACAGAATTTGAATGAGTCATTTTGGTTCAGTAAACCTCAGTTGTCCCTATTTGTCCGATGGACGCTCTAAGGACTGCTGAGAGGAGGCACTAAAAGCCACAGTTGTTGCTGACCCAGCCTAGGATCCACTCTCCCCTTCCTGTGAGATCCTGCTTTTCCCTCCTGTCCCTGAGGAGCTGTCCAGGGGGCCAGGGCAGCAGTGGGATGGCTGCACAGCTGCCCATGGAAACTGGAACTTCTCCCACATCTGTTTGTCAAGCAGCCACAATGCCTCTTGAAATAGCCACCCTTCCCCCCTTCCCCATGCTTGGCCTGTGTGCTGGGGCTGGCAGCCGGGCACTTGGGTGTCCCCATAGCCTGACCTGGCCACCAGGAAGGGATTGGGCCCCTGGGAGGGGAGGGCCATGCCCGGAAGAGGCTTCTGCTGCTTGGCAACATTTTGTGCAAATGTCATATTTTCCAAGCTTGCTGTTTCCCCCACAAAGTAGGTGAACAGCTGTCCAGAGTCCTGAGTCAGGCACTGGGGGTGGGGTGGGGGGGGCGGGGTTGGGGAGAGGCTGGAGCTGCGTGGATCCAGGTTTATGTAATAAAGGATCTTGCTGAGGCCAGCTGGCCAGGTCCTTCCATCTTGGCACTGGGCTGAATTCATTCCCTGTCCCCTATCTCTTCACCCTGATGGGATTGTGGGTACGTCCCCACCCTGCCTTCCAGAGAGCCTGGGAGGCTCCAGAGCAGTATTAGCATAGTGGCTAAGAACAAAGACCCTGGGGGCAGGTGGCCTCAGTCAAACCCCAGCTGTGCCCGGGTACGTCCCCACCCTGCCTTCCAGAGAGCCTGGGAGGCTCCAGAGCAGTATTAGCATAGTAGCTAAGAACAAAGACCCTGGGGGCAGGTGGCCTCGGTCAAACCCCAGCTGTGCCTTCTATAAGCTGCATGATTTTGAGCAAGTTATTTATTTAATTTTTTAATTTTTTTTTTTTTTTTTTAAAGATGACCGGTAAGGGGATCTTAACCCTTGACTTGGTGTTGTCAGCACCATGCTCACCCAGTGAGCTAACCGGCCATCCATATATGGGATCCGAACCTGTGGCCTTGGTGTTATCAGCACCGCACTCTCCCGAGTGAGCCACAGGCCGGCCCGTGAGCAAGTTATTATATCTAATTTTCTGAACCTCATCTGTAAAGCTGGATAATAAATTCATAGACTGTTGAGAGAATCAAGTGAGATAATGCATGCAAAGCACTCGATGTATATTAAGTGTTCAATAAGTATTAGTTCTTCTTATTGTTAATTATTTTATTAACCTGAAAAGAATGGGCAAGAACAGTCGTTCCCTATCTCCCATGGGGCTCACAGTGGTCAGAGACTCATGGCAGCTCCAGGTAACAGAATTTGAGGCTTTGCTCCTTGGCTGCAGATGGTCTTCAGAGGATGCCAGGAGACTTGCTGGTCATCAGCTTTGAAGCCCACTCAGAGAGGGTGACAAGGGGAACCTCATCCGTGCCGCCTGGCCTGGCCAGTTGTGATTCTCCCTGAGCAAGTGCGAGCGTCTGTACGCTTGTGTGGGGGAGGCATGGGGACAGGCCTAGGGACTCAAGGGGATGTCAGAGATGGGGTAGGGGAAGGGGAACAAGTGGCTTCCTGCCCCACCTTTTCCCCAACCAAGTGGCTCCTCCTGTTTTTAAGTGGTTTATAGTGAATAGTATTTCAGCATAATAAGAGTGTCAATGATTAAAACATATGAGATTACTGCTACTAAGGGGATCCTTAAGCAGTAGTTTATTTTAGCTTAGAACCTAGGGACAGGCAGAGAAAGGAGGGGAAGGAGGAATTTGAAGTGAAACGAAAGACTCCTGGGCCCTAGGGAAGAGTAAGGGTGTTAAATCCAAGCCAACCTGAAATAGCAACCTGGAGCTGTAGAATTTGTAGGATGTTGTTAACACTTTGTGCCGTGACAAGATCTGGTTCTGCTGCCTCCTCTTATAGGCAGGGAAATAGAGGCCCAGGGTCAGGAAGAGACTTGAGCTTAGGTGAAGATGGTGAGAAGATGGCCTTTTCACCCTGCCAGCAAACCTGTGATGTAGGCAGTCTTCATAGCTCTGTTTTACAGCAGGGGGACCTGAGGCCCAGAGTCCAGACTCACGGGTGGTCTTGTCCTCCTCTTGATCTTGGCCTTCTGACTCCAGAGCCTGCTATGGAACTGTTGTGCCATGTTGCCAGCACCCAGGTTCTCAGTGTATCCCAGTGGCCCATCCATCTGTCCATCCATCTCACAGTTGTCGACAGAGGGCCTACTAAGTGCCAAGTGCTGTGTTCAGTCCCCAGCACAGCCTTGGCACCAGCTGGTAGGGAGAGAGCATTTAACACTCAGGGGCTAGCTTGCTGAGCTCACGGGAGGGGCACTGAGGATCTGATCCAGACCCCAATTCCAGAGGCAGCCTCTCTGGGGCTGGGGAGGCCACCTCTGCAGAGGATGGCAGCTCAGCCAAGGAAGGGGGTCAAGTGACCTGGGAGACACAAGGTCAGGAGGCCTTTCCATAAGCACTGGAAGTCTCCTTTTGCTCTGGCAAGCCCCGCTGTTGTAATCACTGGGTAGATGTGACCTGGCCAGACTGTGGTCAGATGTCCGAACACCACGCTAGAGGACAGAGGTTGTAGGGGTGCCTTTATTATTTTCTCTGCTCCCTCAAGAGCCACACAGGGAGGAGGAATTAGCAGAAATGTTATCTCCTTTCTGACAGCAGATAGCAGCTTCCCCAGCCTGCTCTGGCCAGAGAGATCTCAAGGGTGGTAAGACTGGGTGAGTTCCTGAGGAGGTGGTGATATCAGTCAGGCCCCTGAACATCCTTACCAAGCTTTGGTGACACATCCATTCGCTGGTCCCTCACTCCTGGGACTGCTTCCTGGAAGAGGTGGCTTTTGAGGTAGAGAAAAGTGGTGTGACAAGTCACTATTGGACAGCCACTAACACTCTGAGCACTAGCATTCGGTGATTATCATTATTTTTAGCATTAGTAGCTATTCGAAAGTGCTAGATGCTTTAAAAAGTGTATTCATACATCATCATCATACATTATCATCACAACATCCTGAGATTGGTTTTATTATTATCCCATTTAGAAGATGGGGACACTGAAGCACTAAAGTCACAGGGTTAGTAAGTGGCAGAGCTGGGATTTAAACCCAGGACGTTTGGCTCCAGAGTCTGTGCTTTTAACCATGATGTGCAACATCATTCAGCCAGACAAAGGGTTGCAGTCCCCACTGGATGTCCCAACACTGCACTCTGAGCAAGCACCACGGGCAGAGCTACTTTGAGGTGAAGGGAACAGATAGCCAGGTGGCTGCGGGTGGACTGTCCGCACTGCCTGGGCACCTGGAGGGGTCTGGGGCTGGAGCAGGCCCTGACTATGTCCTCTTCCCTCTCCCCTCCCTCTCAGATGTGGACGTCCTCCAGCAGCTGGGCCTCAGCTGGACAAAGGCAGGGGGCGGCTGGAGCCCCGCACCCCCGGGAGTCATTCCATTCCAATCGGGCTTCATCTTTACGCAGCGGGCCCGGCTCCAGGCCCCCACGGCCGCTGTCCTTCCTGCCGCCCTGGGCACAGAGCTGGCGCTGGTGCTGAGCCTCTGCTCCCACCGGGTGAACCATGCCTTCCTCTTTGCCGTCCGCAACCGGAAGCACAAGCTGCAGCTGGGCCTGCAGTTCCTCCCTGGCAAGATGGTCGTCCACCTGGGGCCCCGGCGCTCTGTGGCCTTTGACCTCGACATGCACGACGGCCGCTGGCACCACCTGGCCCTGGAGCTCCGCAGCCGCACGGTCACTCTGGTGACGGCCTGTGGGCAGCACCGCGTGCCTGTCCCGCTGCCTTTCCACAGGGACCCCACACTCGACCCCGAGGGCTCCTTCCTCTTTGGGAAGATGAGCCCGCATGCGGTCCAGTTTGAAGGTGCCCTGTGCCAGTTCAGTATCTACCCCGTGACGCAGGTCGCTCACAATTACTGTACCCACCTGAGAAAGCAGTGCGGACAGGCTGACATGTACCGGCCCCAGCTGGGACCCCTCTTCACCTTCCAGACCGACCTCACCCTGATAGGCCTGGAGAACCTGACCACTGCCACAACAGCCCTGGGGTCACAGCCAGCAGGCAGGCAGCCCAGGGTGACTGTGGCACCTGCTACACCTGCCAAGCCCCTCAGGACTAGCCCCACAGACCCTCCCCAGCATATTGCAGCAGGAGGCCCAGCCTGGACCCCACTGCCACCTGCCAAGTTGTCAGCCAGGAAAGCACTGTCCCCCTTGCCCCCGGCCGCTCCAGCTGACTCTGCCAGACCTCCTCGCCCTGCAGCTGCCCTGACATTGCGGAAGATCACAGCCATCAAAATCCCCAAAAGTTTCCCCACGAAGCCTTTAGCCCCCATCAAAAGCCCTCATCCTACCCAGAAAACAGCTTCACCTTCATTCAAAAAGTCAGCCCCACCCACTCAGAAGCCAGTGCTGTCCACTTCCCGCCCAGTTCCTGCCAAAATCTCCCGTCCCACGGTGAAGCCAATCCAGAGGAACCCTGTAACACCCAGAACTCCACCACCCAGCGCCTGGCCCCTATCTCCCACTTCCAGCTCCTCTAAAAAGCCTATTCCCACAGTAGCCCTGACTGAGGCCAAGATGACCAGTCATGCCAGTAAGCTCGCCTCTGCCCACACCAGCCCCCACAAACCTCCCCCGTCCACTGTTTTGTCCCCATCTCCTGCCCCCAGTCCTGGCTCTACCAGGGCTGCTCGGCCACCAGCCACAGCAGTGTCTCCAGCCTCAGCCACCAGGACTCCCAGCACGGCACCTCCCACGCTTGCTCTTGGTTCATCCCCTCCTGGAAGCAAGAAACCCACTGGATCAGAAGCCACAAAGAAAGATGTACCCAAGAGCAGCCCCCAGAAGCCCATCCCTCTCAGACCGGGAAAGCCATCTAGGGATGTCCCATTGAACGATCCAGCCCCCAGACAGTCCCAGCCCAGTCAGCAGACCACCCCAGCCCTGGTGTTGGCCCCAGCGCAGTTCCTGTCCTCGAGCCCCCGGCCCACAAGCAGTGGCTATCCGTTCTTCCACCTGGTGGGACCCACACCTTTCCCCCTGCTGATGGGGCCTCCAGGGCCCAAGGGAGACTGTGGTTTGCCGGTAAGACTGGGTGGGGTCTGCATGCTGTTTGGAGCTTGAGTGAGGGACTATGGGGCAGTTTGGTCAAGTGGTTGCGCCTGGTAGGGGCAGGAGGAAAGGAGCACCTCAGGCCAGGAGCTGGAACCCAGGCCCTGATCCTGGGGCTCTGCTGTCTCCATTGCTACACATCCTGCTGCAGATTCATGATCCAGTGGGATAGATTGAGGTCTGGAGGTCACCCTCAGGTGAAGAGCACCCCTGGGCTTTGGTTGGTCCAGGTCCAAGGTCATTCTTTGCTAACCCAACTGCAGAGGTCCAAGGAAAGCCATTAACTGACTGGCCCCAAGCCACTCAGAGTGAGCGGCTGAGCAGCCTCCAAGCCCAGCTCTCCTGACTCATGCAGCACGGCTCCTTCTGGCCTATTGGCTTGTCCGGGAGCTGTGGACAAAGGTCCTTCATGGGTAGCCCTGATATGTTTTGTTTGGCTCATGCAGCATTCTTTAAAAAAAAAAAAATCTATTAAGTTACTAACATTTAAAAAATGTGAGCGATTTCTTATAAAAGACTCAGTGACCAGCTTCTCTTGCAAAGTGGGAAATGCATGGCCCTTGGGCCACCCCTTTAGACAGGACAAGCCCACTTCCATCTATCCTTGTCCCTCCTGTCGCAATGGAGACTTCCAATCAGTCTTTCCACCCATTTATGTTACCTCTTGGCTGGTGCCTGTAGGCATTTGATTTGTGGCCCCTGATAGAGGAGTTTGGGATGAGGAAGGTTAGCCTGGGCCAGAAAGAACAAGGAAAGGGAAAAGAAAGAACATTTCGTGTGCAGGAGATGGTCTCAGGGTCGATGGCTCCGGCTTGCCTGGGACCGTCTCCAGGGGCAACGACCTTCCCACAGCTGGAGGCCAATTCCTCCGGGTGGGGAATGGTGGGATGGAGTTTCCAGAAGGCTCAGGCCTCTGTTCTGTTCTCCTCCTGCCTTGGAAATGACCACCATGTTTTGGCCTCCCTCCCTCCTGCCCGGAGCCGGGTCTCCCACTGGGCTCTGTGTTTGGGGTTAGGGCTCCCTACAATTTGGAGACAGTGACAGATGCTGGGAATTCCCAGGCCTTACAAACACATTTAATGAGTTTTAATAATCATTAGGAATAATATTTATGCAGCCTGTCTCCAAGGGGACTGAGAGTCCACTTTTATTATAACCATATTGCAGAACTTAAGGAAATTGTATGCATTGCTTTGCAATTATGTCAATGTTCTGCTCAGGTTCCATGTTCTAAAATTGGCAGTGCAGAGATTTGGGAGACACCATTTCCCTGAGGAAAGAACGAGGAAGCCTTTTCACCCCTCCAGGGTACCCAGACCAACTCTGGCACCAAGTATCTTTGGGCTCTGATAGCTCAACTTCCCAAGTTGTGTGTGTGATGGGCTTGCTGACTGTGGGGTCAAAGGGGGTGAATTGTCCCTCTGACTGAGGGTGGTGAGGTCCACGGTCTCAACCCTAGCCCCATGGCCCGTCCCGGCCAAGTGGAGGGGTCCGGCCCTCCCTCCCAAGGCTGTGTGTGGTATGGAGAGAGGGGAAGGGCATCTCCAGGCAAGCAGATCTGGAGCAGGAGCAGTTTTTTAGGGAGTAGGATCTGCCTTTTCCCATGGGGCTTGGGGCCCTGGGGTCAGCAGGAGGTGAGGCCTCCTGCCAAATATCTTTGAACTTCTCTATCATCAAAGAAAGCTCTAGAGTCAGCCTGAGCAGTAGACAGATGTGTACGTTCAGCCCTCCGCATTAGGCAGGTGCGGAGACAGGAGACTGCCCAGAGAGGCCAAGACTTGCCCAAGGTCACACAGCATGTAAGGTGGCAGAGTCAGAGTTTACATCCCAGACTCTGGACTCCAAGACCAGCACATTCCATCCCAACCCCCTAAGTGTCCATTCCGAGGCTCTGGGCCTCAGGGCTGGGAGATTTGGGGTTTCAGAGAGGAGTCAGGCCCTCTCCCTGGTTGCAAAGGAAGAGCTCAATGTCTAAAGCGCCAAGACCAGCACATTCCATCCCAACCCCCTAAGTGTCCATTCCGAGGCTCTGGGCCTCAGGACTGGGAGATTTGGGGTTTCAGAGAGGAGTCAGGCCCTCTCCCTGGTTGCAAAGGAAGAGCTCAATGTCTAAAGCGTCTTCTGTTTCGATAACCTGTCAAGTTTATGAGCTACTGCCACGGGCATGGCATTTCCCATTAGGACCTCATGGAAACTAGTTGAAGAGGGCAGGATGTTTGTGCTAATCCCTGCCCCACAGATGAGCGAGCAGGGCTTGGAGAGACAAAGGACTTGGCCAAGGGCACCTGGCATGTTCCTGAAGGAGTTGGGATGCACACCCAGGTCCCTGACTTCCAGCCAGGGCTGAGGTTCTTCCTGCTTCTCCAGCCCTGCCTGCTGAGGGCACGAGGGAGGACATCGACCTGCCCTGGGGCATCCCTGCCTCATGCTGTCCTTTTTCCCCACCCTCCCCCCACCTCAATAGGAACAAAGAAGCTACTAGAATCTTTGTCCAGTGTGTGGCTGGTGGCAAACTGATCATTCTTTTTCACTGGACACCAGAATAGCACAGTGGATGTGGCATCTTTGAGCAGTGGTGAAGTGAACTCCCACTCCTTCTGTCCTCTCTTGTCTTCCCCAACCCCCTTATATGTTCAAGATCTAAGCCCAGCAGAGCAGAAGCTGTGCTGCTTGGGGCACAGGGCTTAATTGTCCCCATCTGGGGCCACACAGACTTGGGTTCAAATCCTGAGTCTACCCCTTACTAGCTCTGTGACTCTGATCCCCTCTGAGCCTCAGTTTCTGTGGAATGTAAGATAATAATCCTCCCACCTCCTATACTGGGAGAATGACCTGAGAATTTGCATATAACGATCTCATAGAGAGGAAGCTAGTTGAGCTATCTAATGTAGTTTTGCTGAGTGGCTTTGGGGAAATTTCTTCCTCTCTCCTTAGAAATGACCGTGGGAACTTGCAGTGCCTGAGAGAGCTGCAGTGGCTGTGTCTGTGTGGACCTGTTCTGCATGGTTTGGTGGGGGGCATGAGACCGACTGGCAGAAGCTGAGACAGAGTCTGGGCTGAAGCCTGCCAGGAGTTGTAGCTGCTGAGCAAGGGAGCTCTGTGGGAGCTCCAGGAAGGGGGAGTATGGAAAAGCTGAGCTTGGCCCTGGGTGAGTTGGGGCGGGGAGGCCGCGGTTCACAGAAGCTCACAGAAGCTACACAGAAGCCCCACGCCTGGGAGGAGGCGAGTCAAGGCTTTATTTATTCACGATCAGGCTGCTGGCATTTGCGTGTGCTTGCACTTTTTGCAAGTGTCATCTTGGGGAGACCCGGCTGAGGGCCTGGCCCACAGCAGATACTCTATGACTGTCTGTGAGATGAATGATGGAATTTGATCCTTACAAAAACCAGGTTGTCCCGACTCCCAGGCCAGGCTCCTTGAGGTTCTACAGAACTCGCCTGCCAGGGGGATGAGGAGGCTGGGTAATCCATTCATTCTTTGCACACTTGTTGATTGAGTGCCTTTGAGGTGCCTGGTGCGGTGTGACCTTTGATGAGTCACTTAACCTCTCTGAGCCTGTTTCTGGCTCTGTAAAGTGGGGATAAGATATCACCTTCCCTTCCAGGGTTTCTGTGTCCATTCGGTGAGATGAGGGACAGAAAGCACCCAGCACTAGAGCCTGGGTCCAAGTGGATTGCTGTGGCTGTGATTATGCACTGATGGTGGGTGTTGAGGCAGGGGCATTGTTGCACTAAGAATACAAGGACGATTTGGGCACAATCTCACATTTGCTTGGAGAGCTGTGTTGTGAAAATACTCACTGACATGGGACTAGTTGGTGGAGAAGGGATAGCTTCAGAGCCTAGATGAATGAGAGGATGGGGACACACGTTATCTGGTAGGAGAGGTTTTGGGGCAGGACTGCCTCCACTTTTTCCCCCTCTGCACCCCTGGCTTCTCTCAAAGCTTCCTGGGTTGTTTTCATTTGCTTGCTTTTTCCCTGGTAGCCCCACCCCAGAGCATAGCTGGAGGGGCATCTCTTGGTGTCTCCAGGGCCTTCATACTTTTGATGGTTAGAAACTGGGGCTAGGTCTTGGAAAATTCACTCCTTACACCGTCATCATCTAGAACCCAGGAGAATGGAGGAGCGTTTGCTTTGTCTTTAGCGTATCATTTTTGAGCACTGTGTGCCAGACCTTGTGCTAAGCAGTTTGCATGCCTTATCAGTCAACTCTAGGCAGGGACTAGGGTACCTGGGAAGAATTCAAGGTAGACACTATTTACAGAGGTGTGGGCAGCATCAAAGGAACCAACAGGCTGGTGAAGTGTGTGGAGTCTTCTAGGAAAGGCAGCAGGAAACTTACCATGCTAAGACCTGAAGGTACCAAGGGATGGAAAAGGGTTACCAGAATCCAGTGAGAGTTAAAATCTTGAGCTGGGGTCTCCCGACAGAAGCTGGAGCCATACAAGGGCACAGCTGCTTCCAAACTACAGCATGGCAGGGAGGGAGCAGGGAGAGGAAACACCCTGTCCTCTCTCCTACCCTGCACTCTCTTGCCCATTGGCCAAACCCAGCCACAGCCCGAAGGCAAGGAAGCCTGGGGGTGTAGTCTGCAGAGGTCAGCATCCAGGGCGCAGAATGATCCAGGGAGCAAATGGAGAATAATCAGAGCATACACAGTTGTCTCAGAAGATGGGTACTACATCACCCTTTCACAGCTGCACAAACTGAGGCCTGGAGGCACAGGGAGAGGAAGAAGCTTGTTCAAGGCTGTACAGAGCTATATTCACACTGAGAAGCTCCATCGCAGCAGGCCCCTCCCGAGGACAGAGACTGGGGAAGGCTCTGTGCCCTGTGGGCTGTTTCTTGGGAATAACCATGAGCTCAGACTGTCAGAGGTGGGAAGTCCCTTGAGACCCCCTTCCCATCAGGCTACAGGCACAGAGCAGAGGCCCTGAGTCCAAAAGGTCAGGGTCACATGGCAGTCAGCAGCACAGTCAGGACTGGACTCCAGACTTTCAGAGACCAGGCCTTTAAAACCTCTGCCTGCCAGGGAGATGCCAGCCAGGACTTACTTCTTTCTGCAAGGCCTGGCCGGCCAGCTGTTGGAGCTGGACACAAGTGTAGACTTGTTCCGTGGGATGGGGGGTCCCCTAGGTCTGGCTCTCGGAGGCCAGGACCCTTGGGGAAGCCCAGAGGGGGCTACTTTGTTGGTTCCATGGCTCTGCATGCACCCAGAGCCCAGATCGCCTCCTTCTCCTCCAGACAAGCCATGCAGCCCCCGCTCCCCTCCCCCTCAGCTCTGGGCCCTCTCAGAGGCCCCGTTGTTTGCAGCGTGGAGTGGAAAATCCCACCCCGGCCTCGTGAATCATCCCAGAATCACCCGCTCAGGCTTCAGGCCCTGGAAAGAAATGGCAGCGTTTTTCCACAGCATGGAGAACAGGCAGGGTCTCAGATCAGGGGAGAGGGGCAGGGGGTGCCTGCCCTCCCTTGCCTGCAAACAAGTGAGCACTGAGTGGAGAAGGGTCAGGCCTGCAGCTGGAGCTGGGTGGCTGGGTGGCCCAGGTTGGTGGAGCGGAGGGATTGGCTGGGCTTGGAGCTGGGGCTGGGGCTGCCTTGTCAAGGAGTTGGGCTGTGGGCTGACATCACCAGGCTGAGCCGTGGGACCTGACTGGCACTTAGAGTCTGCTCTGCAGATGGCGTGGATGAGGTCAGACTCCGGCCTGGATGCCCCCATTTCTGGGGCAGAAGAAATGCCAAAAGGGAGTGTCCAGGCCTCTATAGCTGTGGCCCCACCAGGGTCCATGAGGGAGCTACACACAACAGAGCCTGTCCCTCCCTGGAGCCCTGGAGAAGCCACACACCCCTGGGCCTTGGACTTCTCCTCTGTGAGATGGGAATAATGTCACTTTCTCTCTCCTGCCTGATAACCTAGCTGAGGAAATTACCCTCCCGCCACATCCCGGCCCCCTGCAACTCAGGAAATGCCAGTGCCAGGAAGGTTCTGGGATATTCATTTCACAGATGGCTGCAGAGGGGAAGGGACTCACCCAAGGTCACACACTTAGTCAGATACACACCTGCCCAAGATTGTCTGTGTGGAAGCTGCCCAGGGTAGGAGAACAAGTCCAGTGGTCCTGGGATTGAACCCAGGTGCTGCCTCTTGTTGGCTGTGTGGCACTGGGCAAGTCACGTTGCCTGTCTGAGCTTCTCTCTGGTTTCTTCTCTGTTCGAAGGGCATGGTACACCTACAGCAATGCTTAGCCTTAGCCCCCGCATTTCCCTTTTATTCTGGATCCCCTGGCACAATTGGGGCAACAAGGCCCTTCTAGTAAGAGACATCTTTCTCTGTTCCTCAAAAACAGATGTGAAGGAGGGTGGCTTAAAAATTTGAGTTGGGGAGGTTCCAGGAGCTTGCTTAACAGAAATAGCAGCTAACATCTTTTGAGCATTGACTGTGTGCCAGACACCAGGATTAGCACTTTTTACAGATTATTTGTCGGCTAGGTGCTATTATTATCCTCATTTTACAATTACAGAAATGAAGGCTTAAAAGACTGGAAGTAACTTGCCTACAACCACCCAGCTAGTAAGTGGGGTTCCCGGTGTGAACCCAGGCCCCCAGTCTTACACCATTCTTTACTGCTCCCACCAAAGCCAGCTGGGGAAGTGAAAGGGGTAGAGGGTCCCAAACCCCAAAGCTGTAGAACTGGACATAGGAGGAAGTAACTTGCCTACAACCACCCAGCTAGTAAGTGGGGTTCCCGGTGTGAACCCAGGCCCGCAGTCTTACACCATTCTTTACTGCTCCCACCAAAGCCAGCTGGGGAAGTGAAAGGGGTAGAGGGTCCCAAACCCCAAAGCTGTAGAACTGGACATAGGACCAGAGACCATCCACCCAATCCTTTGCACCACCTCCCGCCCCAGCTCTGCATGGAAGGAAGGCTGCCCCAGGTGGGAGGTACCTGGATTCTCAGAGATGGCTGAGACTTGCCTGAGGTCATGCAGCAACCCCTCCTTCCTCCCCCTGGGGCTCTTGCCCAGTGACCGTGGGGCCTTGGTGCCCATATCTGCCTGTCTGGATCTCTCTTCTGATTTTTATCCATGCATGAGCAAGCACGTGGTGTTCACAGGCCAGAACTGTGAGCTGAGGCTGCCCAGCGTGAGATCTGGATTAATTACCAGCCAAAATGTACTGGGTTTTCAACACCGATTTTAACTCTGGGCAGGAAACCTGGAATCTCGCTGATGGTTGTTCGAAACAAATGCATTCCCCAGGCCTCGCACATCCTCGAAAGCCTGGCTTCCTTCGAAGGCTTCAGGTTCAGTTCTTCACCTCAGGCATTCAGTTAATTCTCATTCACTCCTGCGGGGTAGTGGGGACAGAAGCTGTTGGACCCATTTTAAAGGGGAGCATCTAAAATTCAGGTGGAAGGAAATGAGCAAAATCCCCAGCTACTAAGTGGTAAAACCAGGATTTGAGCAAAGCTCAGCTCACAGTTTAGTAAGTAGGCTTGGCTGCCTCCCTTCCTGCCTGAAGGGAAAAACACTGAGGCCAGACAGGTGCTCCTTGAATGCCAACCTTCAGGGTTAGGCCTTTCTCTTGAGGGAAATAGGGAGCCATTAAATGTTGTTGAGCAGGGGGGTGCCTTGGGAAGGTCAATGAGGCTGTGCGTGTGGAGGAGGACTGGAGAGGGGAGAAGGTGGAGACAGACCAATGAGAGGAGGGGCCGTGGCAGGTTCTCGTGGAGTGGTGGTGAAGGCTGGACCAGGCTGTGGCAGTGGGACAGACAGAGCATCTGAATGCCAGTTATGTACCAGGCACTGTGGTCAACTTTACCATCTCTCATATGATCCCTGAAATAATCCTAGGAGGAGAGTATTATTGCCCCCATTTTACAGGCACAGGCTGGTTCGGGAACTTGCCCAAACCCAACTGGTTAGTGGAAGCATGGGGATTTGAACCCAGGTCTGTCTGATTCAAAAGCCTGTGCTTCTGCTCTCTGTGCTATGCTGCCTTTCCATGGTGCAAAGATGTTTGGAGTGACCTTGGCCAAGTCCCTTCTCTGATCTGGCTCTGCAGAGAACTTGGCTGAGCTCTGAGGTCTCTTGCTGTTTTATTTCATCAAACATTTGGCTGAGCCCTGGGGATAGAGAGATGACTCATATCCCATTAGTTCCTTTGAGGAGACCATGATCTGATGGGGGAGACAGGCTTCTAAGCAGATAATTCCCCAAATAATATAGTGGTTTTTAAAATAGAAAAAAAGAGGGGACTTGACCCAACTTGGGAAGGGATCAAAGAAGGCTTCCTGGAGGAGGTAATACCCTGACTTAGTGTGTTAGCCAGGTGATAAAAGATGAGGGCTTCAAAGTCTGAAAAGCAGCAGCTGAAATGCCTGAAAGCCCCAAAGAGCATGAGTTCCTTAGGGTAGAGACCTCAGGGGGCCCTCTTCTTGGCCGTGGGGTTTCCATGCCCAGAGCTGTGGACAGGATTGTTGAATGACTGCTTGAGCCCATTCTTTGCTGCCACGTGGCACCGTCTGACACTTTATTCTTACTTTCTCTTCAGGGTCCCCCTGGGCTGCCTGGGCTACCTGGACCTCCTGGTGCACGAGGGCCTCGGGTAAGTGATCACATGCTGTCCTTTGAAGCTCTGGTTGGCTCTTTGGCCTACATGTCACTGCCTCTGAAGTCCCAGGCTTGCTGTGTGTCCTCAGGCTCTTCCCTGCCCCTCTCTGGCATCCATTTTCCTCTTTGTTCATTTCCACTTCAGACTCTTGGTAGTGCTGTGTGGACAGACATGGCATGGGACAGTAATGACCTCTTGCAGGGTCTCAGTTGTCCATGCATCGTGGGTATCACCTTTTGTAGCCCGAGCTGGGGAAGGGGCTCCTGAAGACCACATCCTCTGAGCTAATGGGCTTCAGTGTTCATCCAGGAAAAAAACTGACTTAGGAGGATGTGAGCCGTGCACCCTTCTTCCCATTTCTGCAGGGCCGTTCTGGGGTGGAGATACTGACACAGGCAACTGGATAGGCCATGCCAGGGAGGGGGTGAGCTCCCCATGCTGGAGGTTCAACCAGAGGCCGGAGGATAGCTTGGCAGGTCTGCAGTGGCTGAAGCGAGCCAGCCCAAGCCTCGGAGTGACACCAGCTTCTACGGGGTCTGCCTGGCATGCACTTTACGTGGTCTTGTTGGACCCCTGCCCCCATCCTGAGCCCCCATAAGCCAGTATGATCATTCTTATTTTAGGGATGAGGAAACCAAGAAGGCAATGGCAAAGTAAGGACTGGAACTCAGGCTCGTAATCACATGCTGGGACCCTTGGGGGGTCCTCTTAGAGGGAAATCTGCCTCTTTTCCAAGAGGGCCGGGACCAATGGCACCCGGCATCTGTGCCCAGGCTGAATCAGCCTTTCCCACGCTGGGTGCCTGGTGAGGTGCTGGCAGAGATAGCCTGGGGCATATTTTTAGCTTTGAGCCCAGCGGATGGTTCTGGTTATGCAATTACTCGAGCCCTAGTTCCCTCCAGACCTGGCCCTGTGCTCCCTGGGCCCAGGGCTCTGGAATCTGCTATTTGAAGTGGCATTTCCTCCTGGCTTCGGAGCCTCCATGAAGCACATGCCCAGAGCTGGGGACCACATAGTGTCCCCATGGACACTGCTAGCCCATGGGAGCTTGCAGCCTCGTTCAGGATGAGGCCCTTCGACCTGTCATTCCAGGTGCAGGCAATCTCCCAAACTCTTCCTGAGCCCCCCAGCCTCTGCACCTTTGCCCTGGCTGTCCCCTCTACCCGGCAGGCTCTCCTTTGCAAATTTCTCCTCCAAATGCCACCTTTATTTCTGATGGCCACCCTTCTCAGAGCTCCTGCAGCAGTTCATCTGCCCTCTCTGGGTGGCATGGGTCGCTTTCTAAAAGCTCTTATTGACCCCTGAACTCTGCTGAGCTCTATGTACGTGATCTCATTCCGCTTTCCCAGTCATCCTGAGAAATATGTTCCAACATTATCCCCATTTTACAGGTGAGGAAACTGAGGCTCACAAAGGTTCAGTTACTTTTTTTTTTTTTTAAAGATGACCAGGAAGGGGATCTTAACTCTTGGCTTGATGTTGTCAGCACCACGCTCAGCCAGTGAGCTAACCGGCCATCCCTATGTGTGATCTGAACTCGTGGCCTTAATGTTATCAGCACCGCACTCTCCCGAGTGAGCCAGGGGCTGGCCCAAGATTCAGTTACTTTGGAAAAAGTCAAATAGACTAATGCCAGGGCCAGCATTGAACTCAGCCTATGATCTTAACCATCAATAGTGCTAATTTTTCCGTCTACTCAACTGAGCTCCTCTGGGCTGGAGACAGGCCTTGTTTACCTCTCTCTTTCACGATGCCTCGCAGTGCCCTGTATGCAGGAGGTGCTGGGCAGATAGTTGGTGAAGAATTTTAGTCTGGAAGTCAAGAACATTGCCACCAAGAAGCTGCATGATCTTAAGCAAATCCCTTCCCTTCTCCAGGCCTCAGTTTCCCCATCTATAAAGCCTGGGATCATGGTAAGGCATGTCCCAGCTCCAGGGGAATGAATGACTCTCCCGACATCCTTCTCAGGCTCTCTGCCTGCCCCACCCCACATCATTCTGTTTCTAGAGTGGAAATTCCATAGATTATAAAATTCCAAAGATAATAGGATGCTGAATTCAACAATCCCATCTTCTCTCTACACAGATGGTGGCTCTGGGGCTCAGGGAGGGGCAGAGTCTTATCTGAGGTTACCCAAAGGTCTGTGCATGCCCCTTCCCACTTCCATATACTCGCCTACCCCATGGAGGGACGTTAGGGAATCCCTGAGCCCTCCCCCAACCTGGTCTTCTGGGCTGCAGCATTTATAGAATCAGTCTGCTTGGCTCCCAGTCAACTATGTGACTCGTTTCTCTGCAAGGCAGTGGCTGGAAAGGGGTGGGGATGTGGGGGCAGGGAAGCAGGAAGCCCCCACCTTCACAAGCTGCAGATGGGGTAGCATAGTGCTCTGGCCCACCATCTGTGGGGCAGCTGGGGGCACAACTGGGGAGAGGCAGCCACCCTTGACCTTGCACAGCCTACGCCTGGTTCTGGGGAAGCTGTGTGTCAGGGACCTCTCCTCAAACACCCCCACCCAACCTTTCCCAATTCCAGCTGAGCCCTGTGGTGAGACCCCTGGAGCCTGGACTGGGGTGGACATTTGAGGTTTTCCAGATTCCTTAGAGATCACTGGGTCCCAGTCATTCATAGGAGAGATAAGGAGACTGAGGCAGGAAGGTACAGAGTGAGGCTCAGAACTGGGACCAGGTCTTGACACTTGCAGTTTCCATTTGTGCTCCAGGAGACGGCATTTGGCCGACTGTTGGAAGGGAGCAGGGGGGCTGATTATTTTAGAGAAGAGGTCACACGTGGCACTTATAAATTCCTCAGGCTGAGTGCACTGTGGACACTGCTCCTTCCTGATGCATTCAGAGAAGGGGAGGGTCCCAGTTCAGGCATCGAGGAGGAGGGAGGTGCCTTGGTCGGAATGTGACAGGCTGCAGCTGGGAAGCTGGCCTCAGAGAGGGAGGAAGTAAGTTCATGCACAGCTAGCCAGATGAGTCAAGAGGGGCAGGGAAGGGGACAGTGGGGAGGGAGGGACCAGTGGGTCCTTCGAGGTCCCTCTCCCCACCCCCAATGCACCAGATTGTTCCTGCTGGACAAAGACCCTCGGGTATTACCCAACTCTTAGAACTATATTTATATTACTGGGCCAGAAGATGCTAGCCCAGGTCCCTTGCTGGAGAAAGTGGACATAACAGAACTCAGCTATGGCCTGGGAAAATCCAGCTCATGAATAAACTCTGGGTTTGAAGCCAACAGGCTT